TGCTCCCGCAGTAACCAAGAAATGCACAGACAAGCCCGTTCAGACACAGAGGCAAGAACAGAAATAAAAAAGGGGGGAAAAAAAATTAGAACACAAGCCGTGAACAGTTTTAAAATGGCTTTTATTTATATAAGTCATTGCACATTCCTAATACAGTGATTTCCTGAAAATTACAGTATTTTGTAAACATGATTTACAGTTTAACCATACACAAAGCCTAGTTTTATTTCATGACAGAATAAATTATTTTCTTTTCAAAAATTAGTCAAGTGCAATTTTGCCCAATATTTAATTGAGTACTAGAATTTAAGCCTATGAAACTAAAGTAACAGATGCAATTATCTAAATCTTTTGTTTGAACACATTCACTTCAAAATTTAACTTCTCGTTCCCCCTACCTTCCCACCCACCCACTTAACAACATTACTTTCTTTGAAAAAATTACCCATTATGCATCTTAACAGTTTTTCACAATATGGTGCAGGCCACTGGTGTTACAACTAAGCATTTACCAGGATGTCAAAATGCCCTGTAAACTATAGAGCAGGTGACACCTAGCGATCCCCTTTTAAAATACTGAAAAATTCCAAGCTAAATTTTGCTTCAGTGGTATATATGCAGACATTTTTAAGTTTGCCAACAGTTTTTTCTTATTCTATATAACTTGAATTCTTTAGAGATGCACATAATTTGCAGCAATGCGCAAATTTGACAATGTCCTAATCAGGCCTGCCATGCCTCTCACCTCTGTGGTGTTCTGCATCGTGATGCTTCTTGTCATCTTTTATTGCCAAGTGAGACTGCCCACCCAAAGCACTAGAAAGGGCAAGAAGGCCAGCACTGCTTCCGAGTGGAGGGATTCCTGGAGGCTGAAGTCCTGATGGATGTGGCGTTAGAGGCACTGGAGGTCCATGGCCATGAGAGAGATGTTGAGCCTGCAACTGCTGCTGCTGTTCCCAGCAGTATCATCATCCCCAGAAGAACAATGCATAGCACATAGTTTGGGAAGGAGAAGGAAGAAGTTTGGTTAATTATTGAGAATCAACAGTGGATTTTTTCATTGTTTTGTTTGTGTTAAATCTAGCCTCTCCTCTTTGTCCCACCACACTATACATACTGCATTATATCATGCCGTCTGTGGACAGCTCAGCTCATGCCCCATAAAACAAAAAAGGCTAGCTGAATACTTGTTCTGCAGCCTGAGGAATAGGATCAACTACTACAGGCTGTTCTGGGCAGCTACTGCCTGTCACAGCATCACCAATGACAAATAAACAGCAGCAGCAGAATACCTTTCCCTTTCTATAGAAAGGAGTATCACGGCTCTGGGAAAAAAAAAAACAAATTTCACTGGCAAGACTGATTTAAATTCACCCCCTCCTCTCTTTCCACAATTTGGAAACAGTAAGTAGGTTTATATTTTGAATATTAAAACCCTAAAAGTCACTGCTCCATTTCATATTTAGTGCAGTTAAATTTATATTTTACCCTAGCCAAACTTTTGGAAAAAATATTATTCATGAATGAATAATGTGTTGAGGGACCAACTTTGAGCTTAAAATCCAGGTATTCCAGATATTATCAATACGGTCATGGAATTCCCAACATGAAACATGGTATTAATGAGTTAAAATACCTCCATCTGTTTCAAAAGCAGCTTGCAAGATCAGTATCATAATGAGTGGACTTACAACCCTGTAAGCAATCTGGTGAAGTAACCTGTAAGCAACTTCAGAAACAGAGTCCTTATAATGGAATTACTTCCCCATAGTTTGAATATTAAGATACTTTCTAGTTAAAGCTGTTATAGTTTTATTAATATTTTCCAAGTTCAGCTAACCATTTAATTTGTCCAAAATGCTCAGCACAGATTGATGTAGAAAATTAAGCTTCAAAACCATTTTTAGCTTAGTCATAGCTCTCCTTTAGTCTGCTACAGGTAAACAGATTTTCTGCCTCTTTCCTGCTTCCTTGTGCCTGGGCATATGAACAGAAGACAGAACAAACCTCTCCACCTTGGCCACGTGCCACCATCCCTCTGCTGAAGGTAGATACCATGAAAAAAGCTAGAGTACCATCCAATTCATGGGATCAAAGAGAAGACACATAAATAAATCTCTGAACAGGATGAGCTCAGCTAGACATGAGAGTTTGACCTGGTGAATGCTAGAGTCCTGTAAGAGCAGGCAAAATTGTTACAGTACTGCTGACAGCTACTGAAATCATATTAGACTAAAGCTCAAAAGATTTCACATATTATTCCAAAATAAATCAAAATAATAAAAAAATACTTTATCTGCTTCCATAAGTCCCAAGACTCGAGACAAACTGTCAACAACACTTGCGTAACATCTACTAGCACATGAATGACTTTATTTATTACTATTTAGATAATTACTGTGCCCCTACACTTTTATTTCTCATAATCGCATCCCAAGACATGCCTTGAGCTGTTTATAAACTTATGTAGACACAAGTGACTGACACTGAAGAACTCTGTGCTGGACCTTCTAATCTTTCACTTTTCTGCTGTCCCAACGGTAATGCAGCCATCATTTACTTATTTTTGATATATGGGACAATTCCTACAAATTACAACAATCCCTTTAGTCAATTCTATAAAGCCACAAGTTTACCAAATCTTTCTCACATGATGGATCAGGACGTGCTGCATAAAAAGCCTCTCTAGTCTTCACTGTAATACGTACATCTGATCATTATCCTTGCCAACTTTTCAGTATGTTTAAAAAGCAAGGTAAGCGAGAGGTAGTTCTTATTCTTCTATTTTAATGTGTTTACAACAACCCAAAAGGTAACATTTGAAGGACGCATTAAGAATTATTTTTATTTGAAGAAGTTAAAGCTGTAGACCACAAAATCAAGCAGCTATTGCTAGTGAAACTTCATTTAGCTGAAGACGTATCAGTAAGGAGTACTGTAAAGCCTGACAGGACTGAGACATTTGGGTTTTTTTTGTTTTTTGATCCAGCCCCAAAGAACAAGAGGACATCTCTTTTGTCACAGACCTTACCAAGACTTTAGTAGTTTTCAGCATATTTCCTCAAATCAGGAGATAACCCAATGTACTGGCAGGCTCCCTCAAAGAGATGGTACCTTAGTTGCTCCCTTCCTCGCTGACCACTTAAGCCAGGTCAGTCATCTGCACTCTAGCCATGAGACAGCATGCCTCTGCAGTGCTGTACTGCATTCATGGCATTGGTCTTACTCGTCCCCATCTGCACTATCACAATGGATTACCTAGGTGTGGTGTGCCATTGACTCTGCTCTACTCTGGTGCGGCCTCACCTAGAGTACTGCGTCCAGCTCTGGAGCCCTCAGCACAAGAAGGACATGGAACAGTTGGAGGGGGTCCAGAGGAGGGCTACTAAAATGATCTGAGGGCTGGAGCACCTATCCTATGAGGACAGGCTGAGAGAGTTGGGCTTGTTCAGCCTGGAGAAGAGAAGGCTGCGGGGAGACCTGATTGCGGCCTTTCAGTACCTAAAGGGGGTCTATAGGAAAGATGGGGAAAATCTTTTTAGCGCGGCCAGCTGTGACAGGACAAGGGGTAACAGTTTTAAACTAAACCAGGGTAGGTTTAGACTGGATATAAGGAAGAAATTCTTTACAATGAAGGTGGTGAAACACTGGAACAGGTTGCCTGGAGAGGTAGTGGAGGCCCCATCCCTGGAGGCATTCAAGGCCAGGTTGGACAGGGCTCTGAGCAGCCTGATCTAGTTAGCAGTGTCCCTGCTCACTGCAGGGGGGTTGGACTAGATGACCTCTAGGGGTCCCTTCCAACCCAAAACATTCTATGATTCTATGATCCCTTTCAAATTAGTTTTGTGGAAAAAACCTCCTCGCTCCTCCAACAGCAAACTCAAATTATTTTCTTTTGCAGTATGGGCATGGGAAGGTCAAAACAGGGAAATGAAGTTAAATTATTTCCATTCTTGCCCTTATCCCTTCAGGAAGCCTGTGAAGATGCCCTTTATTCATGCCTCTCTTGATCGGTTTAATTAGCAAACAAGTTAACGCACATGATTTCAGGAAGCATAGCTTAACATCCTTAGAAATCAAACTGTTAGGGACACATTACCTACAATTTCCCTGGCTCTGCTTGGTAGTCTACACACAGGGTATTTCGAAAGTCCCAGAAATGAGGAACAGATTAATCCCCTCTTAACAGGTTTTGAAGCTGGAAGCATGTGACGAGAAGGGCTATGTCCGGTTTCTCTGACAGGACTGCATAGGAACAGTGGGAAGCAATGCCCAGTGTAAGGTGTAGAATACGAGAGCTAAGTGGAAATGCATAACTTCGCATAACCTCTTAGCAGCTTTGCAAAATGGCTACTGAAGGTAGCAGAGGAAAATGGTACCTAAAGATGCTTAAATATTCAACTACGTGAAACAGACTTAAGACTGAAAATCTGATCATGGTCTTTTAGGAAACAAAGGTATATTGTGATTTAATGTTTATTATCTGAAGTTCACTGCTGTTTAAGACTGAAGTATATTGATTTACTGTTTATATATTACCTATTTGTAATAGGTTTAAGTACTCCCTAACACAAAGATAAAGATGATCCTTTCCAGAAGTTCGTGATCTTTTTATTTAAAAAAACTTAATTGTTAGAAGTATGTAGTATTCTCTTTCTAGAAGGGGAAAAGGAAATATATGCTGCACACAAAGGAAGAAACTGAAGACCAGGGAGATGGATAACAGCAGTGCTCACCAGATGTATTTAGTAACTAGACATTTGCCATAGTAGATCCTAGAAACAATTATGTTATGCATATAATCACTTTCCCGTCACTTCAAAGACACTAATGCCTGCTCTGTCACCTTTTAAGAGCTTAGCAGCAGTGAGATATAAAACGGAGTAAGTTGGCAGCGGTATCATGGTCTACTAGGCATGTTCATTAGCAGTTAATTAAAAACTAGACACCTGCCATAAGAAATCTGCTCAAAAAAGGATGAGTAACAGGTCTGCCTTACTACCAATTATTATCATTACTTGCAGAGCAAGGGCTGTGTCCACTTTCAGAAGGAAGTGGGAAGGTAAAGAAGAGTGCAATAATGCATACATAAGTGGCTGCACTGAGATAATTAGCCATAGTGATTTTAAAAGCATCAGTAGTCCACCCACCATTTTGTTGCAAAAACGTAAGTTCTTATAATTGCAAAGGGAGAAAAGGAATGGCAAATTCAGCTTACAGTACTGTCAAGATATAGGTTAGGTTTTACTGCCTCCAATTTGTTTCCAAGTATTGCCCAGACCACAAAGACCCAAAAATCAACATATGAAAAACAATACAGCACTTGCTTCTCTGAGAAAGCACCTCATAACAATTTTAGAGGCAGTACGGTTTTTCATCTCCAACATCCTTGGCAAGTTCCAGCTATAAAGAATTCTTTAACTAGGACTTAAAATTTGGAATTAATTTTCAATCTCTGCCAGAGACTTCCAGAGACAGAGTTATTAGTAAGTCTTTGTGAAACAGATTTCCTATACATAAACAATGACTCAACTCCTTTAGGCTCCTTGCTTATCATACTAGAGCATGACCTCCTACAATCCCACTTCCCACATTAAAGTAGCTCTGTTGAGGTCACAAACACCCATGGCTTAATTAAAAATGTAGTTCTGAATTCATAGTGTTAAATAGTTAGAGCGCTCTTCTGACCTTAAACAGATGTGTGGTGTACTATTCAGTACCTCCTGAAAGGACTGAATTAAAAATTCAGATATGATTGTACATCAACAGTGGAAAAAAGGTCATACCTGGTCCCAAACTACAATAGCTGTCTTCTCTTGTGCCCTTCTAAATAAACACCTGAGGGTAGAAAAATCCTTACCAGCCTTAGCACCAGTATTACTGTCAACAGATACCCCCAGGCATAATAAAAGTGTTCTGAAAACATACCTGGCAAGCACAAGAGTCATTT